CATTTTCTTTACAGGAGGTGGAGAAGAAACCACTACTAGGGCTGGGGCACAGCTCCGTGGGGGAGCCGTTGGCTGATGGCCACAGGCCCAGCCCTAGCTCTGCACACACATAAACAAAGGCATGCTAATAGCTGCCAGCTCTGCACTGTGATCTCCTGCCACACTCCTGGATCTCCTGTTGCACGCACACAGTCTCCTTCCACATAGTAACTGAGACTTGAGGGGAAAATCACTTTCCTATAGCCACCTTGTGGTTCACTGTGCATGTGTGCACACATGTGCATGTACATGCCCCATGGCTCAGACCACTGTGATCTCTAGCCCTGGGGTAGTATAGTAATACACTCCTAAGTAAAGTCTGGTAGCTTGTGGGCCCAGGAGTAAGAGCAAGGACGTAGCTGGTTCTCCAACCACAAAGGTACTTGAAAGTTTCTACTGAGCCCTTTGGTGGAAAAAGACAAGCTAATTGTCATCAGGTCCTGCTTTGGCAGCCAACCAGGATCTATCTGTCCCAGCTTCCTTATGCTGTCCTGCCTCACCTTCCTCAGCTCTACGCTGGGTTCTCAGCTCTGCCTGTCTGCAGTGACTCACGTCAGAAGCCAGAGGAGGCAGAGTGCCGGTGACTCACGTTTCTCTGTGTCCGTGGGCACTCACTGTGCTCCAGTGCAGAGCCCTGACCTGATGCTCACTCCTCAGCAGGGGTTTTAGAAAGCCTGTTTTTCTGACTTGTTTAACCACCACTCTGGCAGCAGCATCATTTCCCCTTCCTAAAGCTTCGTATATGTAATATTTTAGCCTCATTTTGAGTTTTGTGGACGAGCTTTGGAACCTCATCAAAATTTATAGCTCTGTTTCACTGAAATATTACTCACAAGTGTCACACGAGTTATAAGGGGGACTTTGAGAACACCGGTTTGTGGATTGGGACCCCTGTGCTGTTTGTCTTCTTTTCTAATTAGTGTGGGGAAGGACGGTTAATCTCCCCAGTGAGATTTTAAATGCCGTAAGGGCTGCACTGTCTGTGCATGGATCCCTGGACACCCAGCAGGTGCAGGCTCAAGAATGCATCATAAATACAGTTAGTTCCTCTGAAGTCTGGCTGCTTGTCTGTCTCAAAGGAGGGGTGCTGATAGGAGTAGCCTTGACTACCCTGGTGCCTGACGTGATGGCTCATAGACGAGGCACAGGGGAGCAGTCTGTCTTGTCCGTGTTCATCCTGCTTTTAGCACTTGGTAAAAGCTAACACTGTCCTGGGTGTTTCTACTTAGGCTGTGCCCAAGTCCCCACAGACATGTTGGAGACAGCTGTCATTGTTCATTCTGTAGATGAGAAGATCGAGGGCCCAGACAGGCTGAGCCACTTACCTAAGGACTCGACACTATTAGAAGTTCAAACTGAGGGCTGGGTGTGGTGGTGCACACCTTCGATCTCAGCACTCAGGAGGCAGGGGCAGGTGAATCTCCATGAGTTCGAGGCCAGCCTGGTCTACAGAATTCTGGGACAACTCAGGTAGCTAGGACTACATAAAGAGATCTTGTCTCAAAACAAAACAAGCAAACATGCCAAAACCAAAAAGGTTCAAACTGAGATTCAAATCCAGGTGCCTTAGCTCCAAGGTCCAAATTGAGTCTCTCCTGCCTGAACCACAGGAAACTAGGGCTGAGCCTAGTGTCACCAGCAGGCCTCTGATGACAGGACAGAGTGTCTCACTCTCTAGTCCTCCTGCTTAGCGGCCTCTGGTTCAACTCCTCACAGCAGGCAAGGAAGATGCTGGTTTCAATGGGTGTGAACACACTACCAACCACACACAGTGAGTTGCTCAAACCAGTCTGTCTATTCCATGTGCATATAGAGGGTGAGGACAGCTTGTAGGAGTTGTTTCCCCTTTGAGAGCTGCAGGCTGAGCAGCAAGCTCACTGCCCCCGTAGAGAACCCGAGGCAGCATCATGGTATCATCCCATACCTTCCCTGAACACAGGAATTCATGCGTCCCCCAGGGGACATCACTGAGGCCTCATTCTGACTGTGCTCTCAAGAGAAGACTCCATAATAGCTGGGAAAAGTGTGATGTGTCTCTGTGGAGGGGGAGCATGGGTAGGAGCTGCAGGTGTAGATGGGGTTTGTGATGTGTGGCAAATCTCAAAAGGAAGATCACATCTGTTTTGGCCTGTTGCTCAGGTTCAGATCCCTCATCCAAGGTACTCTTCCTGGGGAGACATGAACAAATGACTCCTTGCCCTAGCTAGGGAGCCAGTGACAGACCCAATGCACTGTTCAGTGCTCAGGAAGGGGCAGTGCTTGGCAAGGTGGCCATTAGGCAGTCATCTTTAAAGCTCACAAGAATGGCCACAGCCTTGGCTGATATGGTATCATGGTGCTGGTTTCTTGGTTCTGTGAAAGTTTATTCCAAGCACTGTCCTCTGAGGACGCACAGCAGTTATGACAGACGACTCAGATGGCGTTCTGAAGCCTCCCTTTCCTCACGGGGTATCATTGGAAGTGGACAGATTCTAGGGAGCAACTCCATCAAGTGGAGGGAGGAGGGTGCTCATCCCTGCGTCCCGCGGCTTCCGTCCCTTCACTCTTTGGATTGCTATCTAGTTCTGCTGGAAATAAGAGCATATATTCAACTCTCAGGCTGTGTTAGTGCAAATGAACTCTAATGTGATTAGATGCTAATGCAATGTAATGGAGGATTGGTATTAAATTGAGACCTTCTGATCTTATTACTCCACAAACTCAGGCTCCCTCCTGCTCAGCTGCTGCCCTACCCCAAGCCCCAGGCCAGACAAAAGTCTAAGTGGAAGAGAAGAGGCCATGGGAACCTGCAAGGAATAAGACCTGTATGCCAAGAGCATTTGGCAGGCAGATGGCTTAGGAACTGTGGCAGAGGCGGCAAGCTCGGGCCTGATGCTGGCCTGCCCACAAGCTTGGAGCCCTGTGCTCTGTGAGGCCTGGGAGGGCTCACCTTAAACCCAGAGTCTCTGGATCTGTGACACTGCCCTGCCTCCCTCCCTCCCACTCTGTCCTGTGTCCCCATTCCGGGGCAGCTGGAGCCTGTGCCCTAAACTTGAGGGATGAAGGTAGGGTTCCAATGCCTCGCACAGCCCTGCTTCTCCCACCAGCTTGTGGACCCCCCACAGCCTTGCAGACCTCCTTGCAGACTGTCTGGCAGGTACCCCAAGAGCTGAGGGTCTAGGAAAGCAGGAGTCCCCCACAGGGAAGCCGGGTAGAGAGGCATGCTTGGGGGATGGACAGGAGAGTTGTCTGTCTGCATGAGTAATAGTGTTTTTACAGAGAGAGTGATTTTTCTTACTCTGTTTTCAGCAACTGCTTCCAGAGGCGAGCCTTTGTGCGCAGGGTGGTAATGACTTTTTAATGACCTTAAGAGGACTGGTGTCCGGGCAGCGGTGAATCAGCCTCAGTGGGAGGTGCATAGTGAGAAGGAAGATGGAACACCTGAAACCAAATGGGAAAAACAAACTGCAGATACATATATTTCCTTTGCTAGCATTACTTGGTAATTAGACAATTACAGGAAAGAGCTTCACAGCAGCTGGCATTTCTACAGTGCGGGGGGAGCGGCAGCAACTGTGAGCTTAGCGGGGCCTGGAGTGTGCAGTCCCAGCTCACACTCATGAGCTGAAGAAGGCCAGGCCAGGAGCAGGGCTCCTCCTGCACGCGTGGCTTCTAGGTGAGCTAGCCCAGCCCAGGCAGAGGAGGAGGACTTGTCTTTTAAATGGCATGGTTGTCGGTTGTGGTGGCGCATGCTGGTAAGGTTTGTTGAAGGAGGCAGAGGCAGGATGACCGTGAGTTCGAGGCCAGCCTGGACTACACATTTTTTAAAAATGACATGGTTGGTGCTGCACAGTGGCCCAGCGGGAGCCGTGCCTGCTGTGCAAGCTGGAGCTGGGTTTGGATCCTAGCACCACTCTCAGGTGGGTTAGCAGTGCGTGCCAGCAGCCCCAGTGCTGCTGCAGGGGTGCAGGGAGCTCTCTAGCCAGCTAGTCTAGCTGAAAAAGGCGAGCTCTAGGTTCAGTGAGAGAACTTGTCTCTAACAGTAAGGTGGAAGGCAGTTAAGGAAGATACCTGGGATTGATCCCTGGCTCCCCCCCCCCACACACACACACTCAAGGATGCGTGCACACTATACATACATGGGAGGGAAGTAAAGGAGAGTAGGAGGGAGGGGAAGAGAAAATAAACTAAAATATTGAGATGGATTTGGGGGTCACTCATAGATGGACCAGCCCTGAAAGGAAGCCCTGTGAGGCCATGTTGGGAGCAGGAAAAGTTGAGGCTTTTAGGGCACTTTCTGACCAGGATCAGCTCTGGCGTTGAAGTGACTTCTGCAGCTCCAACTCAAGAATAGAACCTGCCTCACCTCTTCCACCCAGCCACACCCCTACCTCACCCTGTTCCTCCCAGCC